ACTGCAGTCTTAAAGGGGAGAGGTGTTTTATGAACAAGTTGGCGCTCAATGCCAGAACTTGGAAAAATCTCTCTTTTGACTCCAATTCCCGGAATCCCTTTCTAGTTGGGGGACACTGGGTATTGCAGTATAATCACAATTTATTTTTCTGCTCATAAAATCCAACTCCTCATCAAAGCCATCTCAAACAATGAGTTTATGCAAAGCTCTATTTCACTGTGATCTCTCTAGTGGTGCTTACAAAGTTGTATTTGGAACTGGAACACGACTCTCGGTTTACCCAAGTAAGTTCCTAAAGATTTCTCTGAAATAGATATTTCACTCTCCTATTGAGTGCAATTTCTCCCCTCTCCCATCCTGGCGCCTTCTTGATGAGAGACGTTATCCTGAGTTTTGGAGTACGGTACCACCTATATGCGGATGACACCCAACTCTACTAGTCCTTTCCACCTAGAATCATAGAACCAAAGAGTTGGAAGAGACCTCATGGGCCATCCAGTCCAACCCCCTGCCAAATAGCAGGAATATTGCATTCAAATCACCCCTGACAGATGGCCATCCAGCTCTGTTTAAAAGCTTCCAAAGAAGGAGCCTCCACCACACTCCGGGGCAGAGAGTTCCACTGCTGAACGGCTCTCACAGTCAGGAAGTTCTTCCTCATGTTCAGATGGAATCTCCTTTCTTGTAGTTTGAAGCCATTGTTCCGCATCTTAGTCTCCAGGGAAGCAGAAAACAAGCTTGCTCCCTCTGCCCTGTGACTTCCTCTCACAAATTTATACATGGCTATCACATCTCCTCTCAATCTAATGCCAAGGAAGCTGTCCTGACTCTAAACCAGTGCCTTAATCCAAACTAGACAGAGGTCCTCCTAATCAGTTGGAAGGGAGACCAGGGAATAGGGATCCAGTCTGTGCTAGATGGGAGTTATACTCTCTCTGAAGACACAGGTCCGCAGTTTGGAGGTCCTCCTGGACTCAGTGTTGAACCTGCAGGCTCAAGTATCTGTGGTGGCCAGGAGGGCTTTTGCACAATTAAAACTTGTGCACTAACTGTGCCCAATCCTTGGGAAGCCAGATGTGGCCACGGTGGTCCATGACTTAGTTACATCCCGTCTAGATTAGTGTAACACGCTGTATGTGGGGCTGCCTCTGAAGAGTTCTCGGAAACATCCGCTGGTCCAAATAGCTGCAGCCAGGTTACTCACTGGAGATGGCTGCAGGGAGTAGACAAGCACTGGCTGCCAGTGTTTTTCTGGGCACAATTCAAAGTGCTGGTTATGACCTTTAAAACCCTAGATGATTCAGGTCAAGGCTGACCGTATCCCCTTATATGAACTTGCCTGGGACCTGAGATCTTGATCCCACCTCCATCTCAAGCTCAGTTAGTGGAAACGAGAGTGAGCATCTTCCATCTCAGTGGCTGTTCCAAGACTCCCTTCTTCCCAGGGAAACCAGAATGGCCCCCTCCCTGCTGTCCTTCTGGCGGCAGGCTGGAACCTTTTAATGCAGACAGGATCTTAAAGATGAAGGTGTTTAAGATCTAATCAGGAGGTGCTGTGGTTTTTAACTTTGAATATGTTTTGATGGATTTTAACTGTGAGTTTGTGGTGCTGTTTTAATGGCTGCATATTTGTATATTTTAAATTGTATACAAATGCTTTTTATGTCAAGCCGCTTTTGAGTCCCTACTGAGGAGATAAAGCGGGGTATAAATAAATCTACTACTACTACTAATGACGATAGTAATTTTTGATGAGTTGAATACTTTCCATCATCCCGTTTCCCTGGTTAGGATCATGAGCAAATATTTAGAGGGTGCTGGCATGGAAGGGGCTTTTTCAATGAGTTACAATATAACATTTAATATATAGGGTTGTAGTTTTTTCGGGCTGTATGGCCATGTTCTAGAAGCATTCTCCCCTGTCATTCCGCCTGCATCTATGGTTGTGGGGTTGTGAGGTCTGTTGGAAACTAGGAAAATTGGGTTTATATATTTGTGGAAAGTCCAGGGTGGGAGAAAGAACTCTTGTCTGTTGGAGGCAAGTGTGAATGTTTCAATTGGCCACCTTGATTAGCATTTAGGTGTGCTCTGTTACTGCCTGGGGGAATTCTTTGTTGAGAGGTGATTAGCTTATCCTGATTTAGCAGCTTTAGCAGCTAATCACCTCTCAACAAAGGATTCCCCCAGGCAGTAACAAGCCACACCTAAAAACTGTTAGGCCATCAAATGCTAATCAAGGTGGCCAATTGAAACATTCACACCTAGCTCCAACAGACAAGAGTTCTTTCTCCCACCCTGGACTTTCCACAGATATATAAACCCAATTTTCCTAGTTTCCAACAGACCTCACAACCTCTGAGGATGCCTGCCACAGATGCAGGAGAAATGTCAGGAGAGAATGCTTCTAGAACATGGCCATACAGCCCAAAAACCTAGAACAACCCAGCTATTCCGGCCATGAAAGCCTTCAACAATGCATACTTAATATGCATCTCTTTCGTCTAGTTGTCATCATAATAATTACAGTGTAGAAGCATCTTCAGGCAACCCAATGCCTTCCAGTTTATGGGGCACCTAAAGGCAAGGGTGGAGTGAAAAGCAATGGCCATCTGTTTTCCACCTGCCAGTTTTTGTAAAGCTGTTTCTTAATGTGTAAGTGCTGGCAGTTACGACAAAGTACTATTTGGTCAGGGGACCCGGTTAGCTGTTCAACCAGGTATGTCAGAATGGAAGCAAGTGCATTGTGTCTCATGGGTGGCTCCTCATGATGAATCCATTCCTAAACTCGCAGTTCAAGCTTATTGCATTGAATATTTCAAGTCTCTTCTGATAATGGCTGAATGTTGCTTTCCTTTATACATTTCACTCTGGGATATACTTTATACTTTTAATATAGTGAAGAGTAGATCAAGCCTCAAGGCCTTTCTACACTGCCCTAAAACCTGTGATACATAAGGGGTTTACCTGAGGCTTTCAAACAACGCATCAAGTAAACCTGGATTTACCTGGAGTTTTCTCTGAATTAATCTGACATCCACAAAGATCCTGAGCTTTGGATGGAGTTGTTGCTTTCAGTCTACAAAACTGAGGCACAAACCTCCAGCTGCAAATCTCATGATGATTTTGTAAAGCCTTTGATAGCTGTGCTACAAGAGTTGGCACTGACAGAATTCAGTTTGGTACAGGGACACGCTTGGTAGTAAACCCAGGTATGTGGCTCTCACTAATAGATCAGTTAACAGACTTTAATAATTTCAAAGAGGGAAAAAATGAAGCATAGTGTTAGGCAAAAGAATAGGGTAAAGTCTGACCATGACTTGTAATGCAAATTATATATATTCTGGGTTGTTGTAGGTTTTTTGGGGCTATATGGCCATGGTCTAGAGGCATTCTCTCCTGATGTTTCGCCTGCATCTATGGCAAGCAACAACAGAGAGGAAACAGACAAGGACATCTAATCACCCCTCAACAAAAGTTTGCTCCAGGCACTGTCAGGCCATTATATGCTAATCAAGGTGGTCAGTTGAAACATTCACACCTAGCTCCAGCAGACAAGAGTCCTTTGTCCCACCTGGGTCATTCCATTTTCTTAGTTCCAACAGACCTCACTACTTCTGAGGATACTTGCCATAGATGCAGGCAAAACGTCAGGAGAGAATGCCTCTAGACCATGGCCATATAGCCCGAAAAAACCTACAACACCCCAGTGATTCCAGCCATGAAAGCCTTCGACAATATATATATTCTTTTTACATACTTGGTGGATTCTGCCGTATTGAGTATCTTGGGACAAGAAAGATTGGGGATTCCCCCCCGCCCCAGATTTTTGAATATCGGTAGTTACAAATGTATGCATCTTTAGATATCTTGGAGATGGGACTCATGTTTACCTACAAAATACATTCAGGTTATAAGCACAACCTGAAGATAATTTTATATATAGTATTTTTCATAATTTTGTGCATTGAATAATCAGAAAGCATAGTGTTGTTATTTCAGCTTCCCTTGTGTATACCGTAATTTTGCATTCCATAATTCTGGATAAGAAATGTCCAATCTACATTGCTTATATGGAATGAAGTCCTCCAAGGCCCTTAGAAATCCAAATAGAAGGTGCATCTACACTGTAAATTAATGCCGTTTGACACCACTTTAATCGCCATGGTTCAATGCTATGTAATTATGGAAGTTCTAGGTTTACAAGGTCTTTAGCCTTCTTTGCCATTAATTGTATCTACACCATACAATTAATGCAGCTTGACCCAACGTTAATTGTCATGGTTCAATGCTATGTAATTATGGAAGTTCTAAGTTTGCAAGGTCTTTAGCCTTCTTTGTCATTAATTGTATCTACACCATACAATTAATGCAGTCTGACCCAACTTTAATTGTCATGGTTCAATGCTATGTAATTATGGAAGTTCTAGGTTTACAAGGTCTATAGCCCTTCTTTACCAAAAAGCAATAGTGCCCCACCAAACTACAACTCTCAGGATTTCATTAAGCACTGGTAGTTGAAGCAGTGTCAAACTGCATTAATTCTACAGTGTGAATTACTTACAATGGTTGGATATGCACAAGGGACCAAGGCTTGGAAGTTCCTAGATAAAGATAGGAGAATGGTAATCTCTAGATCAGTCAATTTTGCAAGAAGCCAGAACTAGGAGAAAGTTCATGCAAACAATGAGATTTCCCTACCCACTCCAAGTGGGGAAACTTGTGAGCAAGATCCCATTACTCAGTCTCCATAGTGAGTATGTGAGGATCAGTATCCACTTTGCTTGGAGAAAACCCCCACTTCTCAGAACTGCGCCCCCTTCCACACAGCTTAATAAAATCCCACATTATCTGCTTTGAACTGGAATATATGGCAAAGTGGACTCAGATAACCCAGTTCGAAGCAGATATTGTGGGATTTTCTGCCTATTCTGGGTTACATGGCTGTGTAGAAGGACTCTATGTCAACAGTTGTTTTTGCAAAGGTCTATGTCATGGTGTAGGAACTATGAGAAGCTTACATTTGGACGTGGGACTAGTCTGAGAGTTTATCCAGGTGAGCCATTTAAAGCACACCAAAAAAACCCAAAGGTTCTGGAAAAGAATCAAATCCTAATCTTATTCTAAGATTATTCTCATTGAAAAAATAACACTGAAACTTTGCTGATTTGATGATTGTGAGTTTCTATTCCTCAAAGCAGCTGTCCCTTCCTATGTCAACCATTGAAGCCTTCTAGGGTCCATGATTCTTAGGGATGTCAATACTATTCAGGCATTTTCTCTTTCTTGAAGCAATGGGTGAGCCTTGTCTTGAAAGACTATGGGCCCTTTCACACAACCATAAAACCCAGAATATCAAGGCAGAAACTCTCACAGTATCTGCTTTGAACTGGGTTATCTGAGTCCACACTGCCATATATTGTAGTTCAAAGCAGATAATGTGGGGTTTTATTCAGCTATGTGGAAGGGCCCAATGACATCCCATTCAGAAAATGATCAAGTTCAATGAGAATTTCCCCCCCACATTTCTGCAAGGGTTCATTTTGTGAACAAAATTATTTGCCAAAGAAGTTTGTTTTTGATATCATTTTATTTTGCTTTTTGCTTTTGGGACATTGACCTAAATATAAGATAATGCTCTCATAATCTCAAACAGCAGAGAGAAGACTCTTGAAATTATTTCTCCTTGTGTACAAGGTGGAATTCAGTGATGATTTAATTCTGGTAATATTGTATGTGACTATTCAGAAGTAGCAGTACTGTATTGAAATGAAATTTGTCCTAGGTAATATTGGAGTCCCTGGTGGCACAACGGGTTAAAGTGCTGAGCTGTGGAACTGGCTGACCTATCTCTTGCACTGATGGCGCAGTGGGTTAAACCGCTGAGCTGCTGAACTTGCTGACTGAAAGGTTGGTGGTTCAAATCAGGGAGCGAGGTGAGCTCCTGCTGTTAGCCCCAGCTTTTGCCAACCTAGCAGTTCGAAAACATGCAAATGTGAGTAGATCAATAGGTACCATCTGGCTGGGAATGCAGTCATGCTGCCATATGACCTTGGAGGTGTCTGTGAACAAAGCCGGCTCTTCACCTTAGAAATGGAGATAAGCACTATCTCCCAGAGTTGGACATGACTAGACTTAATGTCAAGGGAAACCTTTACACACACACACACACACACACACACACACACACATGTCCCCTAAAATGCACATTATGCATTCTAAGAAGCCTGAATGAATTAATGAGACAAATTTCTAGTTACACGAATTTATTTTTTTTCTAACACACATAGATCTGTAGGATTCATGTTTTTGTAGAGGAGTTTAATACTGTGTGAATGATGGAAGCCGGAAGATTATATTTGGAGGTGGAACAAAACTGAAAGTGATGCCAGGTGAGAAGGAGGGTAAAGGAAATCAGAATATTTCAGGAAGATTTATTTTATATCTAGGATGGTTGTTTTCATATGTGTTCAGAGACTGAAGGAGTGGTCATTTGAAAGGCTTTTCAAAATTATTACCGATGTTTTTAGGTCTTCTCAGACCTAAAAACACATAGACAGTGTCTCAAGGCTTGGGAATCATGGAGTTTGAAGTTTGGTAAGGCACCAGCACTCTAAAGATCTGATGAAATTACAACTCCCATTATTCTGTAGCCTTGAGCCATGCAGTTAAAGTGGTGTCAAACTGTCTTAATTCTTCAGTGTAGGTGCACCCTGGGAAGTCCTGAGCTGACATTGTTGGGGTGTCTTAAATGACAGCTTTATGTAAAGGTTTGTTTCACTGTGATGACTACGGAACGTATAAATTCATTTTTGGAAGTGGAACAAGACTGACAGTTCATCCAAGTAAGAATCCAGAATTTCGGTGGTTCTATTGAAGGGAATGTTTGAAAATAAATCTGGTATTACTTTATTATTATTATTAGGAACATAAATTTTGTTACATTGTATAGTCAGTCAGAGGAAACTGATGCTTTTGTATGGACGGGGCACAAAAGAAGTTTTCTGAGAAGTTCTGCTTTCCTCAAAGTGACTATTGAGAGTTGCAAGTGAGAGTTTATGTACTGGCTTGTTTCACTGTGTAACTATGGAAGTGTTGCTAATAAACTGTCATTTGGACAGGGGACGCGGCTGGTAGTTGTTCCAAGTAAGTAATTTAGAGAGGAGCTAACAACATTTTCAGTTTTTCCAGGTCTTGCCAATAAAGAAATTGGTGCTTAGACAAACTTATTGTAGGGTTTTCTGAGGCTGAGAGTATATACATGACCTGCCCAAGGGCTCCCAATGTGTTTGCATGGAATTGAACTCTGGCTTCCAGAGTTGTAGTCCAACACTTAAGGCACTGTCTCTGCCAAATAATACTGAAGGTATATCTACACCAGGGGTCCTCAAACTTTTTAAGTATTCGAGCTATTAGGGACCTAGACTACAGTTTGAAAAAACAAGTTCCTATGCACATTACACTTATCTTATTTGTAATGCCAAACAAACAAAACATAATGGAAAAACAATACAATATTTAAAACAATATTAACCAACATACATTGACCAGTATTTCAATAAGAAGTGTGTGCCTGCTTTTGGCTGATGAGACAGTCAAATTTATGAGGATTATTGTTATTGTTGTGGTTGTTGTGTCCCTTCTAGTCGTTTCAGAGTTATGGTGACCCTAAGGCCACACTGTTAGGTAAAATCCAGATGATCTGCTTGAACTGGATTATATTAGTCTACATTGCCATATAATCCAGTTCAAAGCAGGTCATCTGGATTTTATCTGACAGTGTAGATGGGATCTGAGTCTAAGGTTTAGGGCCAGGGTCAGGTAAATAACCTATGGGCCTTAGTTTGGGTATTCCTGATCTACATTGTAGAATCAGTGCTGTTTGACACCACTTCAATTGCCATGGCTGAACTTTATGGAATCGTGGGCATTGTAGTTTGGTGAAGCACAAACAGTATAATGCAGAGAAGGCTAAATACCTTATAATACTGTCTTTCCCAGGATTCCATAGCCTTGAGAATTAATTCTGATGTTAGATGCGCCCATAGTAAATATTTATCCTTTCAACTATGGAGTATTTGGAGTTTGGCCATCAATGAACTGATGTGGGGAAGAAAGGCTTAATGCATGAGGATTTTGGTTTTTCTGGTCAATACTTGAGTGAATGCCATGGCAATGCTTAGGCGGGGTGACTTTTTGTAAAGGGCTATACAGCTGTGAGCAATAACAACTTCAAATTCACCATTGGATCTGGGACAAGGCTGATTGTAGTACCAAGTAAGTATGTATACAGTTACAGTGAAAATGACTTTTGGGGCTGGAAGAAGACTAAAGGTGATTCCTGGTATGCGATGACTTTTAAAAATAAGATAGTACAGGAAAAGTGCAAATTTGATACTTTAGATACCAGGTTTGAACCAAATGTCATGAAGCACTTAATGCCAGTACCTGGAAAATACTCTTTTTTTTTACTACAACTCCCAGAATCTCCTACTGGTTGGGGGTTGCTGAGTGTTGTAGTCTAAGCAAACAGTTTTTTCTACTCCAATCATAATCTCAGAACAGACTCCCACTCCTCATCGAAGCCATCTCAAATAATGAGTTTATGCAAAGCTCTATTTCACTGTGATCTCTCTAGTGGTGCTTACAAAGTTGTATTTGGAACTGGAACGCAACTCTCGGTTCACCCAAGTAAGTACCTAAAAAGTTCTCCAAAATGCATATTTTCCGACACTCTCCTATTGAGTGCAATTTCCCTCCTCTCCCATCCTGGTGCCTTCTTGAGGAGTTGAATTTGCATTTCCCATTATGGTTAGGGATTATGGGAGTTAGAATTCAAGATATCTAGAGCAGTGGTTCTCAACCTGTGGGTCCCCAGGTGTTTTGGCCTACAACTCCCAGAAATCCCAGCCAGTTTACCAGCTGTTAGGATTTCTGGGAGCTGAAGGCCAAAACATCTGGGGAACCACAGGTTGGGAACCACTGCTCTAGAGGGTGCTGGCTTGGAAAGGGCTGATTGGATAAGTCATGACATTTATTACAATGCTTGAGGAAATATCTCACTTTCTTCTAGTGATGATCTTTATTGATTGGAAACAGAATAGACCACACCTGGAATACTGCGTTCAATTCTGGGCACCACAATTGAAGAGAGATATTGACAAGCTGGAATGTGTCCAGAGGAGGGCAACTAAAATGATCAAGGGTCAGGAGATCAAGCTCTGTGAGAAGCGGCTTAAAGAGCTGGGCATGAAGGCGGGTAAAAAGAAAATCAGGATATTTCAGGAGCTGGGATGTTTCATATTTGTCAAGAGATTGAAGGAGTGGCCATTTCAAATTCTTTCCAAAATTATTACCAAAGTATTGAGATGGCAGACATAAAATACATAGACAGTGACTCGCTGCTTGGAAATCCTGGGAGTTGTAGTTTGGTAAGGCAGCAGCACTCTTTGGCAGAGAAACCTAAAATCTTGTAAAACTACAATTCCCATGATTCTGTAGCACTTAGCCATGCAGTTAAAATGGTGTCAAACTGTGTTAATTCTTTAGTGTAGATGCAACGTGGGAAGTCTTGAATTGACAATTCTGGGATGTCTTTAAGTGACAGCATTATGTAAAGGGTTGTTTCACTGTGTTAACTATGGAGCTGATAAACTCATTTTTGGAAGTGGAACAAGACTGATAGTTCAACCAAGTAAGTATCCAGTATTTCTGTGGTTATATGGCAGTTACATGGCAGTGTAGACCCATATAATCCAGTCCAAATCAGATAATCTGGATTCAGAAACTGGATTATATGGCAGATCCAGCCTATGTAACTTGCCCAAGATTACTCAATGAATTCCCAAGGCATTGAACTCTGATCTCCAGAGTTGTGGTCCTACACTCAAGGCACTGCCTTCACTGAATAATATTATGGGTATGTTTACACTGTGAAATGAATGTAGTTTGATACCACTGAATCTGTAGTTTGGTGAGGTACCAGCACTCTGTGGCAGAGAGGCCGAACACCTTGTAAAACTGCAACTCCCAGGGTTCCATAGCACTGAGCCATGG